GTACACCAATTTTGTTTTTGCTTTCAGCTTATGACGCTCAAGTTGCTGGTCTCTATTATGCTGTTAAGCCAAATGACACTGGTTTTCAGGTTTGTTTTTTCAAGTAACTCACACACATATAATAGTCCTATAATTTGGTTATTTTTATTATTTGACTATTGTAAAAATATAGTACTTGGACTGATATAATACTTTTGGATTTTACTTGAGCATTGGCCCTAATGTACAACATGCATGCTCACACTCAGTTTGAAGTTTACAGTTTCTATGGTTTCTTTGCTGTTTGGTGCTTTTACAATGTACAAATCACATTTTGTTGGGTTGTAAGTTCTGACACCCCTTGCAATGCTGATGTGCTCACATAAACTGCATGGTACAAGAGTGCCTGCCTGATGTAGTTCCTTGATGGCGGATGCATTTTTCTACTTAATATTCAGTGGGTTACTACCATACAATTCATAACATTGATACAAAATGAATTTCTTGTGTTGTGTTCTTTTTGAAAACTTAATGCTTTTCCTTCACCATTTGATGTCTGTACACTGTACTATCTTGTAGGTAACTATGGTTGGCTTCAATGACAAAATGAGAACCCTTCTGGGGACTGTTATTGGCAAGATTGCAGAATTTAAAGTTAAGGTTGACCGTTTTTCTGTGATAAAGGTAATCAACAATAGTTCCCTGCAAATTTGCATGTTGTTTTGTTGTTATTTTGTGAGTTGTATGTCCAGAACTTCTAGGAGTCCTTAAGAGTTGGGACTTGGTTCACATTCAAATATCCAATTTGGAAACTCCAATTTTAACCCTCAGAATTTTTGTTCCCCTGTCTGTCTCTTACAGAACAAAGAGCCTTCTCAACGTCTCATTTTAATTCATTAAACACAGTGCAAGGATCAAATATTCTATCTTGTTGTTTTTTTAATGCAAAAGGTAATTTGTGGCTGGGACTGAGTATATATGCAATAATGTGTCCTAAGTTTTTTTTTGTCACCCTGTTGTAGTATGTTTCTCAACAAAAAAACCTTCGTAGTCCAGTGGTTTGACTAGGGGCTCTTGGTGGGTTTCAACTTGCTTGGGACTGAAAGGCTAAGTTGTTGTTGTAGTATATTTCTATGTAAAGCAAATTATCTGAATATCTATGGCCAATCAACATGGCATACATTTGTTGCTTGTTATTTGAATTGTGACTTTTATTATCTAATAATAGTGGAATTGATAGTATCTTTTACCCTAGGCGTTCTAGAATATCAAAAAGTGTTTCTGGTCATGCCTTATTATTCCTCTCAACCTACTGTACTTGCTTCCAGGTGATGCAATTGCAAGCTGAGACTGTATTTCTATGCACTTTGTATGAACTAAAGGCGTCTTCTTTTTTGCCATCAGGAAGCTATGACAAAGGAGTATGAGAATTTCAAATTTCGGCAGCCATACCAGCAAGTCTTGTATTATTGTTCGCTGATACTGGAGGACCAAGCGTGGCCATGGGATGAGGAATTTTCTGCACTTTCCCACCTCGAAGCTAGTGATCTAGAATATTTTTTGCCTCAGTTGCTGTCAAAGACCTTCATTGAGTGTTATTTTGCAGGTTTATCTATTTATTAGTTGACTTGAATATTTGATATGTCCTCAAAAGAATTTGATTCAATACCCTGATTTCATATTTTTTTGTCTTAGACTTGAGGATGCTCTGCATTGTTAGCCTTCTTGATTGCATATATCAATTTCAGGTAATATTGAATCCAATGAAGCAAAAAATATCATTCACCATGTTGAAGATGTCTTATTCAATGCACCCATTAGTGCTTGCAAGCCACTATCCCCATCACAGCATCTTGCCAAGAGGATTGTAAAGCTTGAAAAGGGTTTGAGATACTATTATCCAGCAATGTGCTCAAATCACCAAGATGAAAATTCTGCCCTTCTGCATTATATTCAGGCATGCTTTCTATACTTGTTCTTCTCAAATGATTGTTTTCAGTGAAAAGTACCTCCAAGTAATACCAATTGATTCTAAAAACGTGATATTGGCAGATTCATCTATCGAATATGAACGATTGTTTTCAGTGAAAAGTACCTCTAAGTAAATAACAATTGATTCTAAAAACGTGCTATTGGTAGATTCATATAGCAAATTTAGGTGGTTAACCTAAGGGATGTCATAGTGTTACACCATGTTAACTGTGTGGCATAGTCGATGCATGTAGTCCTGTTCTTTAATTTTGTGCATGCGTGTATCAATTCCATTGTGCCAGGACTCAGGATTTGCCACCTGCCACACAATGTAATGCTATAGCAATATCCTCATCTGTGCAGACTCATCAGGATAATGTCAAGCAAAATGTTCTACTTCAACTACTTGCTCTTGTTGGCAAGCAGCCAGCTTTTCATCAATTGCGATCAGTTGAGCAGCTTGGCTACATAGCGCTGCTTAGGCAAAGGTACAAGGAAGCCTTTCTTATTTTATGATTATTTGAGAATATGTCTTCTGTCCTTTTCTTTTTGTGTGATGCATTTGGCAATAAAATGTGTACGCGTGTTCACCCAGGAATGATTCAGGTGTCCGTGGGTTGCAATTTATAATCCAGTCAACTGTGAAGGTAAATATACTAATTTTATCCATTTCTGTTATTTTATTTTTTAAATCTCCTCTTCAGCTCTAATAAGTTCAGTACAATTTTTAATAGGATCCTGCTAATCTGGATGCCAGAGTTGAAAATTTTCTCAAGATGTTTGAAGGCACTCTCTACCAGATGTCTGACGCAGAGTTCAAGGTTAGACGTGCTTCTCTTTCCATGTAATTACTGTTTTATCAAGCTCTCAGCATCCTGTTTCAATCTTTAATGATGTTGGTTCCTATTTCCTGGTGATTGCGGGATGTTTATCTGCTAACATATTAATGCTTTAACCCATACATAAACTGCTTAATTAGTAGTGAAAAATTACATGCTTGGAAATCATAGTTTAAAAATCTATGCTGTCTGGCACCAGGTCCTGATTCTTTTATTTTACGGACAAGTAAGATAAAACTATCGCAAGTTGTGTTGTTCTCAACCAGAATGTTAAAGCAAGTTGCATTTCCAACCACCGATACTTATTATTAATCCTGAAGGATATATTACTCTTTCTTCACCCATGCGTTGGTAATGAACAAGGGTAGGATGCATAAGTGAAGTATCTTATCTTATTCCGAACTCCCAAGACGTTTACTGTGTCTTATTGTTGGTTCAACTTTTGCTGTGCTATGGATTTTCTTTGATTGGAATTATGGCAGCTTGTTTCTGGTGTTTTTTGATCTTTTGGCATTAGGCTCCGAGCATTAGCATCTGGAGCACCATGGCCAGGCCTCCAGTGGAAATTATAACATTGGATTGAACATTCTAAATTCTAACCAGAAGTTGTTAACAGAGAGACTGGCACTTTTATTAGGAGAATCGTTTGATTTTTTTTTCCAGAAATAGTGCCTGCATGTGTTATTATTATTATGAGGGAAAAGCCGGTCCCAAAACACTTCAAAGTAGAGATACAAAAGTGGGGAAAAACCCAACAAAAACACAGAAAGTCACAAAACTAGGGACATATGTTAGGATTCAGCTTTCTATCACAAAACCCCCAAACAAAAAGTCACAACGCAACCTGTTTGCTTCTCTTACAGCATTTTATGGTTTATGTATGTACCTTATAACAATTGTATGGCCTCTCCTGCAGAGTAATGTAAGTGCTCTTATTGATATGAAACTGGAGAAATACAAAAATATCCGTGAGGAATCAGCTTTCTTCTGGGGAGAGATTTCTGAAGGAACCCTCAAATTTGATAGAAAACAAGAAGAGGTGTGTACTCATTGATTGTCTTCGTGTATTGTTTTGTGAACTCAAGTCTCAAGATAATTCTATGATGGCAGATTGCTGCACTGAGGGAGCTCAAGAAGGAAGAGTTGATAGACTTCTTCAATGATCATGTGAGGGTCAATGCACCACAAAAGAAGATTCTTAGTATACAAGTGTACGGTGGTCTCCATTCTGCCGAGTACGAAACAATAGTGCAAAATGCTCCGCCACTGCAGTCGTGTGAGATAACTGATATTTACAGCTTCAGGAGATCGAGGCCTTTATATGGATCATTCAGGGAGGTATTGGTCAGATGAAGTTATAGTTCAACATTTTCTCATCTTTCTGTGAAATTCTGAAAAAGAATAATATTTCTGTTCAACCACTTCCGTTGGACTAGGCTGACCTGCATCTACGTTCATAGTTTATTTCATCGAGGACACCATAGTAGGGCATTTATCTATGGTTTTTTTTAACTATATTCATTAAAATATTCTGATATTATGAGATTTCACATTGCCTTTTTAAGAAAAATATCTAGCCATGTCTGGTTGGTCTGAGATACGACATATATTAGACTAAAAAGAGAAAAAAAGGAAATGTTGTGTTAATCAACCAAGCTTGGATTATTGGAGACGGTATATGGGCACAAGTGCAGAAGTTTGACGTTTTCCTCGATGGAAACCTGAATTTCTAACGAAATCACAAAACACCAGCTATGCCAGTGCCACTGAGCTAAAAGGAATTCCTAACGAAATGGAATTGCTAACGAAATTACGAACATGCCACTGAGCTAAAAGGAATTCCTAACCAATTTAGGAATAGTGGTAACTGGTAACCAGTTTCGGGTACCAACTATGCCTTCGACTGCGCACGCATCTACTATAAGCACCCGGGCTAAGAGGAGATGAGGTTGTGGGTGGAGGAGAAGAAGCTGGAGCTAGAGGATTCCAAAACACACACACACACACACACACAAGTAAAGGCGACAAATCCACTTCGTTATTACGCCCAACTCAAGATCGAGTTGGCATGCATCAGAGTCACTCTAGGACACAATAATAACTAAATCTCAAGCACATACCAAGTCGTGAGTAAGTAAGTAATTTCTTAGCCGTGCCTTTATGCATGGACCCAGCTCTCAAGAGCCCAAGTCATCGACACTATCAAGTCTATCATGGACTCATCGCCTCATCCTCTAGAAACAAGGCTTCGCCTCCACCATTACCAACATCTCCTCCACCGTTACCTCCTTTTCTACCCATAAAGTTCGTATTAACGCACACGCAGTATTCTGGTATCACCCCGCCCCCGCGACAGAAACCGTTGGTGTAGCCCTTGCTTTTACAAGATCTGGCACATTCGCCTGGATAGCACGGGAGGTGATTCACCTTGAAGGGAGGTGATTCACCTTGCTTGGCCTCAGCACCTGCGCAATCAAATGAACGAACCAATCAATATGAATGGAGTTTGACTATCATGTTATGATGTTAATATATATCCTAGTTATACATATTCATCAGCTGAAGCCCAGTGACTAGACCGTACGTACCATTCATTTGTTGCATGCTTTGGAGTTTGGATGAAGTCGATCCTCCCTCACCCAAGGTTAGAAGGGCTAGCACTAAGGCCGCCGACGACGACGACGCTAAGGCCTTCCCTTTCATGGCTGAATTGAGCTTTGCTTTAATTTGTCAGGTGAGAAGATCGAAGAGAAATAGAATGACACCTCTGAGTTCATCCATTACCACTATTTATAACAAAATGGATGTGCATATCCTTGCCTCGGATTCTCATTCATTAATTAGATGATTTATTACATGAGTAGATATGATACCTTGCTACCAGCAGCAGCAAAATGGATATACACATCCTTTTCGTCATTGCGTGGCATGTCTTTTTTTTTATATAAATAAATCCATCTAAGTACCCTTTTCATTCTCCCTGCACGCATCTCAGTCGAGAAAATCGTGCCTTTTAATTTCATACAGTTATAAATATATATAGAGATTTATATTAATCATATGTACAGATTTCCACTGAAATCACGTTTCTTTTCTTCTTTCTTTTGTTTTATAAAAGATTACCCCAACGGAAATATGATTTAAATGGCCCTCTAAATATATGAAATTAAATTACCACATCTATTATCATGATATAGATATATATAGATATAGATATAGATATATAGATATGGCAGTAACCGGTGGTTCGCACCTAACTTCAACTTTATTTAAATATAGATAAAGATATATATATATATATATATAGATATATAGACATGTAATACAGATACAGATACAGATACAGATGTAGATAGAGATAGATTTCAAATAAAAAAAATTGTCAATTGTGAAGTTGTGTATAGACAGATATCATGGAAATATATATTGTATGAAGACATTATGAATTTTCAAAGTTGATCTACAAGTTCGGATGAAAGAAATCTGAGCCTTCTCTAAAAAAATGTATTTCTATATACGGCTTGGTTAGTGGGATTCGGTGGAAGTCTTTATAGAGGCGGTTGGGGATTGAATGGCCTGTGTCCAAAAATGTAAGCCTCTATAAGTCGTCTGTAGTAGTGGCTATTACTAATAATGATTCTTCTAGAACTAACTATACGAACGAGCAATTTCATATAAAAATCAATTGTTTCCTAGAACCTTATTATGTGATAATTCTATTACAGGTTGGATTTTATTTGACCAATGGGGGAATTTTCTCTATTTACTGTACGGTGAATTTATAATTAGGAATCAAATATAGAAATATATTTTCACAGTCGGTTGTTAGTTACTCGGGAGCTAGGGACGGATCTTATGAGCAGTTAACCCTATAATTCTGACATGGTGGTTAAAAAACAAATCGACTGCGTTGTAATTTTAATTTTTAATCCACTGTAGTAACATGTCAACATGATAGATTCAGAAAAAAAAATCAACCGACACACAGGTAAGTGACACAACCATTTCATTATTATCACTACCTCAAGATCTGCCGACACCCTGCTACAGTGCCCGGAGCCGGCCGGATGCCTGCCAAAGAGGTCCTACTCGATCGGTCACCACTCCCTTCACCAGTACCGCTGCCTCCGTCACCTGTGCATTCCTTAGTGCACGCGCACTTCCGGTCAAGTTGGGTGCAGTAGCCGTCGGTGTAGCCCTTGCTGATGCAACATGGGAGACAACCTCCTGTTCGCTTGGATTATAAGTCGTATTTTTTCAGCCAACGAATAATATTTTTCTCTCATAATAAGTCAGCAAATAGTATTTTTAGCCATGACTTATCAGCCAAGTCGATTGTTGGCACACAACATCCCAGGGAGTCACCCATTGGCATACCTTGCCTTGGCACCTGCTGAATCAGATGAACCAACCAATCAATATTTTTTCATCAGCTAAAACCGCGAGTGACTACGTGATTCATTTTTTTTTTCATGTTTTTGTACGTAGGATGAAGTCGATCACTCACCCAAGGTCAGGAGGAGGAGGACCAAGGCAGTCGTCGCTGCAATTTTACCTTTCATGGCAGAACTGATACTAAGCAGAGGTAGGTTTGTTTTGTTGGGTGATGAAGAGTTGAAGATGAAGGAAAGGGCACAAATGCCTATTCATAGTGTCCGAGTGCATGGATCGGACCATCGGTTACCGCCGGGTATCCGGAAAAGGATATGCATAACCTTGTCTTGGATACTACTCAGCAAGTAGGAATCATTTTTATTTTTGCGACAACAAGTAGTAATTAATTAATAAGAGGAAAAAATAACTAGTGTCCGTATATACATAGAGCATTGACTGCCACCTTATCTTATCTTATCTTATTATTACTAAATGAAAATATTCCAAATGGAACATTCACATTAGTCCTCACAAGACACGTTAGAAAAAAAATAAATTCCACAAATTCTCACAAATACTTAAATATCTAGTATTTAATTTGGTAGTAGTAGACTTTAATCATCATCACCAATAACAACCATTTGATCTTTTTGTGTTTTATAAAAGATTACCCATCAGAAATATGATTTAAATAGCCCTCTAAATATGAAGTTAAATTACCACGTCCGCGCTTGCTCGAGCACTTGCAACATAAAGCATTTGCTGCAACATACGTTCGAAACAGATAAAACATTTACAATATATGCTTGCAACATATGTGTATGGCCACTGCAACATATGCAACATCCAGATAAAACATTTTGCAACATACGTTTGAAATAGCTGAAACATTTGAAACATACACTTGCAACATACGTGCATAGCCGGTGCAACATATGCAACGTCCAGATAAAACACTTGCAACATATGTTTGAAACAGCTGAAACATTTGAAACATATACTTGCAACATACGTGTATAGCCATTGCAACATATGCAACACCAGATCTACTTTTGCAACATCCTGATAAAACATATGCAACATACATATGAAACGCATGAAACATACGGTTGCAACATGTGCTCATCTACTTGCTGGCTTCCCCCCAATGGAGGCTCATTGATGCGGAGCTCGACGCCGGCGCGGAGCTCGAGGTCGCCCATGGTCGATAGGCGGATGGATCGCGGCCGTGGCGGGAGGCACGAGGCGCGGGCGGTGCGCGACGCGAGGCACGGGTGAGGGCGCAAGGCGCGGGGACTGGCGGGTCGGTCCGTCCTGAAAGGACGGACGTCCTGAGGGTATCATTATCGATCCGAAAAAGTATATGCATAACCTAGTCTTGGATACTAGTCAGCAAGTAGTAATTAAAAGGAAAATTTACTAGTGTCCTTATATACATAGATCATTGTCTGCCACCTTATTTTATCTTATCTTATTACTAAATGAAAATGTTCCAAATGGAACCTTCACATTAGTCCTCACAAGACACGTTAGAAAAAAAATTAAATTCCACAAATTCTCGCAAATACCAAAATATCTATTATTTAATTTGGTAGTAGTAGACTTTAATCATCATCACCAATAACAATCATTAGATCTTTTTTTTTGTTTTATAAAATATTACCCATCGAAAATATGATTTAAATAGCCCTCTAAATATGAAATTAAATTACCACATGTATTATTATGAATAATAATAATAAAGTAGATATAGATATGGCAGTAACCGGTGATTCACACCTAACTTCAACATTATTTAAATTTAAATATAGATACAAATATAGATATATAGACATATGTAATATAGATATAGATAGAGACAAAGATAGAGATATGTGGATATAGATAGATGGATGGATGAATATATTTTATATTAAAGATATGAGTGGTTTTCATGCTTTTGTTCCTCTAGGAAATAGAAGTGTTCTGTCCAGACGTGCTCTACGTACTTTCGTTTCTTTTTCGAATTTTATGGTACAAACGTCCACAAACACGCATGTATATTCAACCTCTATGAATATATGCACCCAAACTCTATCACTACAAGCACCTCTAAAAGATTGAGTCAAGCTGGTTCCACCACAAGGAAATAACCTAATAATCAGCTCAACTATGGTCAGGTGTTGTGTTATCTCTTCTTTACAATGCAACACATATTCTCGACAATGTTCAATGCAAATGTTATATGTCCATTTTTTAACATCTCAATACGTATATTCACTAATGTATATATATCTGCCGCCATCTTAACGCTAACTTCGGGTTGTTTGGATGAGACATAATTAATTTTTGGCTGTTAATGGCTAGATCTAATTGTTAGCTGGTTAAAATCAACTAATGGCTATTTGATACATGAGCTAATATATGGTAGGATTCTCGGTATCCTTTGTGACCGATATGCGCGCGAGGTATATGAATATGAAAGAGGTAAGTGGGTGAACTATTTTGGCCTTTTCTCAATTCATTAGCTCCTTTTTATAATCCGCTAATAGGCTAACACAATTAGCCCTCGCGTCCAAATTAAACCTTTATTTGTGCGTGACTTTCGTCATCAACAAAAGTTTTCACAAATCTCAGAACAAATCCACGCAGACACAGGTTAGATAAGCAAAATCGCTTAAGAAAATCATATCATTTACTATTTTCTTTTATATTTATTATATACTCATCAACCTAGGCATACATGCGAGAGTCGCCTTTGCCATGCGGCATGAGCACACATAATCAGTCAATCAGAGGCCTGGCGACCGGAGTGTAGCATCAGCTCTCTCTCTCTTGCATGGCTTAACGCAGAAGCACTGCTTGAACGGCGGCCGGCCGTTGCAGAAGCCCCCGGTGTAGCTCTCTGACTCTTTGACGCAGGCGGCGTTACAATCCGTATCCTGAAGGCACCTCCCTTTGTATTCATGGCTTCGCGACTTGCAAATAGGAGTAGGAGTAGGAGTATGCGCCTCCGCAGCTACATGATGTTCAACCAAATAATCAATCAATCGCGAGTCAGGATATTTGGATGGATAAAATCATCTAACACAACTGCTGCCTATACTCATCATGTTCAATTTAGCTTTTTTTTTGCAGGGATTGGATGAATTTACTCACCAAAGGTGAGGAGGAGCAAGACCAAGACAGTTGCTGCTGCGACCTGGGCCTTCATGACTGAAATTAGGCTGTGATTTGCTTTGTCGAGCGAGGAGGAAAGGAAGGGCGCAGGTGTCCATTTATACTGCTGCGATGACGCCTTCTATCTTGGTTTTCGATACTTGCATATTAAGTAAAGAGATTTGTTTATG